CCTCACCTCTTCGTTCTTGCTGCTTTCGTGCTTGACTGGATATGCTGCGCCTCAGTCAGAAATGGTTCTGTTGGGGGCTACTCCTGTTTCGTGGGAGTGGGAGTGGAGCACGGCCAATGCTTCGGGGTGTGCGCCTTCGCATGTTGTGCCCTCCTTTTGGCTTTTAATAACCCACAGCTGCTGGCAGTGCCGTCTGACTGTCTGTCTGTCTGTGTGGGTGGGAGGAGGAGGAGTGGCGGCCCGCATTTTTGGTGGGGCTACCCAACGCATCATCCCCTGCCGCCTCGTTTCCCCCCAGCCAGACCCCAAAATAAGCGGCCGTTTTCTGCTGCTGCGACTGCCAGGGAACGCTTCCACCGGAGCTGCGCATGCGAGGCGTGCGCGTGTATTATTTTCGCATCCTTTTTTGGCGACCGCTGTGTGGCCCGTCGGTGAACGCGCTGTAGACCACTCCTCAGAGAGGGCGAGGTGGCCAGCACTGGGGGAATCTTGGGCGGCGCGACACGGAGATTTTTTGGGAGCTTGGAACGAGCGCGGAAAGATGCGTCTGCGTTGGGCGTCGGACTGCGCGACGCCTACTGCTGGGTGAGAGACGGGAATCCAAAAGAAAGTGAAAAAAGGTGCGCAGCTGCCGCGTGGTTGCTGCGACGGCTGGTTAATTATTTGACTGCGCACGTCAGCGTCTGTCGTGGCGCTGCGGTGGTGGCGCAAGGAGCCGTCGCTGACGCCGCTCCTCCTTCATGGAGGGAGCTGTGTACAGCCCTCGCTGCGGCGGAGGTGTCTGTGGTGAGTTCCACGTTGGAGAAGTTGGAGGGACACTACGAGGATGTCTGCCATGCGGGGTGAGGTCACGCCATGGAAGTTTCCGACGGGCGAAGAGGGATGAGGATGGAGCTGAGGGAAGGCAGTCCGCCACAGCCGTGGGATTAAAAGGTGGAGGGGGCGACTGTTCTCATGGATGACGGTGCAGCGCAGTTCCGCCCACCACGTCCCAGTCTGGTGGTGCTCACCTCCGAGAAGTTGCCGTACGCACTGCTGCAAGGATGTGGTTCTGACTGCTGTGTGTACTCTGAGGTGGAGCAGGTGTGCCTGATCGTTGAGGGCGATCTGGCCGGGCTGTTTGGCACGCACGGCGGGGCGAACTCGGCGTCTGTGCTGCGTGTCTTGATCGGGATGCCCGGGATCGGGAAGTCGGTGGATGCTTGTTCGTGCCTTCTCTACCAGCTGCTGCACTACGACGCCGAGCAGCTCCACGCGGTGGCGTGCTTCATTGGGGAGCGAGCGTTTCTGTTTGACAAGACCACCAAGACGGTGTTTTCCCTCGGATGTTCGACTCGGGCGATGAAGAGTTTATTTGGAGGTCTCCATGCAGGTGAGGGGGTATATTATCTGCGACGTGATGGGGCGGACGAAGATGTTGCCCACCAAGATGCCTCCTACCGGGTGGGGCATGCTTGCCGTGTCGTCCCCAAACGAAACTCGCTGCAGGGGCAGAGAGGAGGACATGGGCGCCCGCCGAATCATCATGAACGGCCGTGATGAGAGAGATGTGATGGCAATGTGTGCCTGGGGGATGCACGGAGAGCCTGCAGAGTGAAAGGCATCCGCTGCGTGTGTATTGTGGTGTTTTCTTTCTTTTGGTTCCGAATATCGCTTGGAGCGGATGGTGACGGACGTCTGCCGTTTTTTATTGTTGTTATTTTAGTTTCCAACGTTTTTTTAATTTTATTTTTTAATGCTGCGCCCCACTCCTGCTGCAGTGCGCTGAGGGAAGTGGCGGCGTTGGGGAGTTTGTGGGGGCCGTGATGGGAGGTCCCGCCGGGATGCGCACTACGTGTTGCTGCTGGCGGGGTTTAAAGGGGCTGGGCGGGGGAGACGGTAAGCGAGGTGTTCATGAATTTGTTTAGTTGTTTGATTTCTGCGGGAGGTGTCCCACACTGCGGACTCTCCGTGCGGGTGCGTGTGGGTGTTTCTTCGGGCGGCGGCGAGTGTGTGATCGTGCGGCTTACGCGTTTGTCTGTGTGGCCTTCGTTTTTGGATTGTCGCTGTTCTTTGCGGGGTGCCCAACTGTGGGCGAGGGCAGTGCCTATCGTTGTTTTTTTCTTTTTTTTTTCCCCCTCAACACGCTTGGAAGGAAAGAGAACAAACGCTACTCGCTGCTGTGCGCATTGAAAGACGCTGCAGTCACCACCAGCAGCAGCAGCACACACACACACACACACACACACAGACATTGGTTTCGGCCTGAGCGGATCCAGCACAAGGAGG